ATAGTATCATTATAAAATTCAAAGATTTTACTTTCAATAAACTATTTAGATAATAAATGATTAAAATCAAAATGATAATTGATGTGAAACTATACAACTCTGGAAACCATGTAGTTTTCTGCAATTTCACATTTATAAGAAGGAGTATGCTATTTAGTTTCTTCCATAAACACTAAAAAACAATTAAAAAAATCATTTAAAATTCCATAAAGATACAAGTAATAGACAACTCACTTGGTATCTTTCTTCTGTTGAATAGTGAATATGGACATAAATAGATTTGATTGAAAATTCATGTTCCTGTTCAAAATAAAACTGTATCGTTATATGGTTTTCCAATCATTATTCTGAATTACAATGATTTGTTCGATCATGATTTTTAAATATAAAAATAAAAAATCAAATTTCATTTTCAGTTATGACAATATTCGTTTTCTGTGATTTTTTTACTTATCGCAATTGATACTGCTATGACATTTATTTAACTGACTATTTATGATACACTTGTTCAATAATATAAAATGAAGAAATTAAATGATAATTATTACGACCTTAGGATTGAGTTCTTATGTTAATCTTTTTGATTGATCTAAAAATGACTTTGTTTTTCTAAAACTATCTTGCTAAAACATTTTCTCAAGCAAATCAATATGTTAAACCAGATTGATTTCTTTTTTTTTGATGAAATATCTTATGATGGTTTATCAGCAACAGATGATGCATTTGAACGATATTTTGATCAATTTTATTCAATATTTCAATATGAAAGTCGCGAACAAAAATATTTTGCTATTTCGGGTGTTATTGCTTTATATCGTCAGAATGATGTTGAATATCTTAAAGTATAATATCATTTAGAACAAGTCATAGTGTTTTTTATTTTCCTAAAGTTACAATTCTGTTTAATTTCAGTTAGATATCGATATGCTTGAGTCCTATGTAGATGATAAGCGTACTGCAATTATGAAACAAACACAAAATCATTCAATATTATCATCATCATTTCGTATAGTACTCAATTATTGGCCCTTGTTAAACCATTTATAAATGAATTAGAACCAAATCTTATCCTCAATGGTGATAGTCATCATGTATGGAAATTTAATTAACAATAAATAAAAAAGAATACATATATATGTCTATATGTCTAGTTTTATATATATTTATATGATCGAATTAATATGACAACTCGTATCTTAGCACGATAATATTTGCCACAACCAATTGTTTCAATAGATCTTAATCAAAACCGTTTTATTTCTGATATATCAGTACCAACATGTTCATATCGAATGGGTGTTATTAGAATTGGATATATTGTCCTTTAACTTGATAGTGGTATGATTTAATCATATATATAATAAAAATAAAATACTTTATTTCTTTCTAATATTTATTTAGTTACTAAAACGGCTCATTTGACTATTCTTCCAACACCAAGACGATATATAAGCCAGTTCGTGTAAGCCAAGACCTAACTTGCTCAATCGAGGTCATTCGATTGAGCAGGTCCTGTGG